GGGGCACAACCCTTTCGTGGAAAAGTGTCTAAGTTCGGTGGCTGTTGCCTTTTTGAAGACTGGTGGCAGACGCTTCATGCCCCAGCATTTTCACAAATGCCCTCGTGAGTTGTGAGTTGAGCGCATGGGGAGTAAGACCTGTGCCTCTTGACTCTACAAGGCTCTCCCGCATTCGAGGCCCTCAGCCCTAAACCGTATACCCAAAGCCCTCAACCCTGCACCGTAAACTCTTAAACCTCAAAATCCTAAATCCTACAACCTAAGCCTTGTCCCCCCATCCCGATGTTCTACATGTCTTTTGGAGTTTGTTGTTTTGGCAGTTCAGGGTGTAGGGTTCTTGGAGCTCGGATGATTGGACAGTGCGTTCCTCTGCTCATCATTGACTCGTATCCGAACCCTACTGAAGACCGTCGTGAGCACCCACACAGCACCCTCTAAGTCAACCCACAAGACTCCTCCATAGGCCCACACCCATAACAAGTTGCGCCACGAACACCTAAAGCGACTTTCAAAAGCTCTAAAGTCACCGAGGTCCCTACACCGGAATTCCCAAACCCTAATTCAGAAACCCTGGACCCTACCTCCCTAATCCATGAAACCCTAAACCCTGTCTGTGGACTCGAAACCCTTTGACAATACCAACAAACCCTAAACCCTCTAAGCCCTTAAAACCCGAAAAGTCCTTGAACCCTACACCCTACAAGCCCTTAAGCTTAAAGCGGAAACCTAAACCCCATAAGCCTTTAAAGCCTTAAACTCCCTGAGCCCTAAACCCTTCAAACCTTCAAAACCCTAAAAAGGCTTACTTAAACCCCTAACCCAGAGCCTTTTGTTTCGAATAAACCCTAAACCCTAAACCCAAAACTTGAGAGTCCAAAGAGGCTTAAATCCCAAGACCTGAACCCTTAAATCCTTAAACCTTAATACCTAATCCCTGCACCCTAAACCCCATAAGCCCTATAATGCCCTATAAGCCCTAAAGGCTTAAAGCCCCAAAACTTCAACACCCAAAACTGTTAAAACCCCGAAAACCCTAGACCCTTAAACCCCGAAATCCCCCCAAACCCCCCAAACCCCCCAATCCCCCCAACCCTAAAACCACGAAAAACCCCGGTTGTTTCGAAATGCCCCGAGGAGCTGCCGAAGGCCTCCAGCGAGTCGGAGCACCTCTGGGCTCCAGGCGCGAGAGCGGAAATGTTCATGGGTGTAAAGGGATCTATAGGGTACCTTTAAGGGGTTCCCTTTAAGGGATCTATAGGGTCCTTATTATGGGTCATGCAGGATTTATGTTCATGGGTGTTAATCTAGGGGCCTTAATAATTAGAACAGGGTTCCTTAAAGGGGACTATAAGGGATCTAGTAAATGTCATAAGGAACTCTTCCGAAATAGTAATTATTAGGTTACTCTAGGGGCCTTAATAATTAGAGTAAGCTTCCTTTAAAGGGCTCTATAAGGGATCTATAGTAGGGTTCTGCAATATAGAGGCCTTAATTATTAACATACCTTAACCTACAAAGTAAAGGGATCTATAGGGGTACCTTTAAGGGCTTCCCTTTAAGGGATCTATAGGGCTTTGGGGTTTTGGGTTTAGGGTGATGATATAAATCCTGCATTACCTTAAGGACCCTAAACTAGGGGAACCATGGTATATTCCTTATTATGGGTCATGCAGGGTTTATGTTCATGGGTGTTACTCTAGGGGCCTTAATAATTAGAATAGGGGTTCCTGTTTAAGGGGTCCTTTAAAGGGCTCTATAAGGGATCTATAGTAGGGTTCTATAGTTTAGGGGCCTTAATAATTATGACAGGGTTCCTTTAATGGGACTATAAGGGATCTAATAAATATCATAAGGAACCCTTCCAAAATAGAAATTATAGGGCTACCATAGCGGCCTTAATAGAACAGGGTCTCTTCAAAGGGCTCTATAAGGGATCTATAGTAGGGTTCTATAGTATAGGGGCCTTCATAATTAGAAGAGGGTCTCGGGCCCTTTATAGTATAGTTATCATAACGAACCCCAAAACAGTATAGCACAGAAGTTTTGTGGGTTTGGGGCTTGTGATATAGGGCTTATGGGTTTTAGGGTTCATGGGTTTCGGGTTTAGGTGTTGTTTAGCTGGTTTAGGGCTCGGGTCTTAGGGGTGAAAGTGCTATGGCTTTCGGGGGTTTAGTTGTTGCTTGGTTGGTTTAAAGTTTAGGGCTTGGGGCAGATCTGTAAAATCTATGCGTTTGTGTCGAAAGCTCTTACACTCCGTGGTTTTTGAGCTTGTGCTTGAGGCTTTTGTTGCTGGTTTACGGTTGAGGATGTTTAGGGCTTTTTCTAAGGCCTTAACCCTGAACCGTGTTCTGCGGTTTGTTACGTGATGTTTAGGCGCTTTGGGCGGTTCCGGGCGTTCGACATTGAAAGTGGTTTTGGAGGGCCTACTTACCAGAAGGGCTTGGGGGGTTGGGGCTCGCGGTTTCGGAGTTTTCACGGTTTACCATTCGGCTTAGGCTTCGGTTAGCGTCCAGGACTTGGGTTTGGGTGCGGATTTCGAGCTGAAGGCTTTGAAGGTCTTTCGGGTCCGAGCGTAGCATCACAGCTAGATTTCCGGGAGCACTTTCGCAGAAAAGATGCCAGACCTTCTTCAAAACACTGGGTTTCTTGAATGACAGAGGGCTGATACACGGAAGACTCTTAACGGAGGACGGCTTAGAGGAAATGTTACGGAAAGGATCCGGATACTCCTACAGCTTGAGGGCTCTGTGGATGGAAGTCCCGACATAACTCGAAAAGTTTTCAGCATATCTCCCAAGTGAAGCTGGCTAGCAGGAAAAAGTGTATATACCTTCATGTTTAAGGTGAACCTCTAGCAAAGCAACTCCTCACGGAAACCCGTTGCAGAACCTGCCTAGCTTGAAAACCCAAGATCTTCAACCCTAACATTCCAAGTCCCGAAGCAAAGCCTCAGCCCTAGAATCTTAAAGCCGATCAGCAAACCCTAATTCCCTAAACCGCTGGGAAAGCCCGAAATCCCTCTAAGCAAGCACTCTCAGGTCTCGACTCTGGCCGCCCTTCGAGCTACGAATCTTCACTGAATCGCATGTAAAGTTGAGTGGTAGGGGTGGAATAGGGTTTAAGGTTTAGGGATTTAGGGTTTAGGGCTTAAAGGTTTAGGTTTTGGGTTCAGGGTTGGAAGGCTGAGAATTAAGAGAACCAGCAAGGTATTCGGGTGCCGGACTCCGGAAGTATCAAGCCGAAGGGATTTTCTGGTCGCATACCCTACGGGTCCTAATGCCCCAACAGTCGCGCACGGCACTAGGACCTCACACCGATTCTGCTTAGACCTTCGGATCCTTGCGGATAAGGTATTAAGTATTATAAGACATGCTCCTAGGGCTTGTTGAAGATAAGTCTGTGGCAGGTCGGTTCTCGCCTGGCGTGGGAGACTGGCTCTTGCTTCTTTCAGGTAAGAACACTAGTGTAGGAACCTGATTAAGAAAACCCGGGCCTGTAACCCCAAAATAGTAGGATTCATATAAGGAGCCCAAATAGAGGCCCACGATTTCTTAATCAGGTTCCTACATCATCCAGGTGGTCTCGGTACCCACAACGTGAACGCCTAAACTCCGCAAATCCCGAAACGTGAACGCCTAAACTCCGCAAATCCCGAAAGTCTCAAGTCTTTCCTTGGAGCTGGTCCCTGCACGGACGGTGGTTTGCATAGACTGCTTTTAATGGCCCGAACCCATGAGAGCTTTTCCAGTAATGTATTTCCAAAGACACCGACTTCCCCAGACAGCTTCAGACCCACAACCTTAACTCCGAATAAAAGCAAAGCCGAGCTAAGGTAGCCATGACAGAGGAGTCGCGGCAGCTTCTCCGCAACTTCTACGAACCTTACATCCTGGAGCTGCAGTCGCTTTTCAACGACACATCCCTGCAGTGGTAGCGGTCAGAGCCGCACTTGAAAAAGGAACGGACTACTGGCTTCGTGCTGGCTAGGGTCGCAGTGAAGAGTTTGCACACGGTAGCTACGTCGTCATATGGCTAAGATAAGTCATCGTATGTACATAGGCCTAGTTGCAACTACGGTTGGCCAGCACCAACACCTCGCGGACGTGAAACCGCAAGGTTGCCGATCGCTCAAAAAAGGATGCGGTATCTGTTGACAATATATATATATATATATATATCCCGCATTACCTTAAGGTCCCTAAACTGTGGGAGTTATGGTATATATCTTATTACGGGTCATGCATGATATATATCATCAACCGTATCAACGAGAAGGGCTCAGGGGCAGGATTCTCCAGAAGTGCCGACGAAAGGAGGAAGGAGGAGCTCTACGTGTTCCATTCGGGTAGGGTTGTTTTTGCCACTGGATGCCTTCAGAGACCTCGATCTTCAACCCTAAACCCCTAAACCTTCAACCCTTAAACCCCTCAAACCCTAAACCCTTAAACCCCTAAACCCTAAACCCCTAAACCCCTAAACCCTAAAATCCCTAAACCCTTAACCCCTAAACCTTCCAGACTTCGAGACCCTAAGAGCCGAACCCTCGAGTCCGGGACTCCTTCCGCCGGCTCCGGGTCGGTTATTCCGACAAGCCAGCACTCCACTGGCCACGGTTACCATAAGGGTTACTATAATATAGGGGCCTTAATCCTTTGGTTAGTGGAAAAATGGAAGAATGGTAGTAATAGTAGTTATATGGGTAGCCAACACTCCACTGGCCGCACTTCGGTTAAGGTTTAGGGTTTAGGTTTTTGGGGTTTAGGGGTTTAAGGGTTAGGGGTTTAGGGGTTTAGGGGTTTAAGGGTTTAGGGGTTTAAGGGTTTAGGGGTTTAGGGTTTAGGGGTTTGGGGTTAGGGTTATTCCGCCATGCCATAACCGTGCTTCAACCCCTCAGTTGAGACAAGTGCCCTACCCCATGGCAAGGATTTGTTTTTGCAGCGGGTGTTCGCCAGGCATCGCAAACCCTGAGCTCAGAGTTTCCGGAATCCGAATCACAGCAGGTCTGCTGCCGGGCTTTCCTGGGCCTTCGAGTGGGTCTGGCTCCTGACTGGGCTTGGTGTTTGGGGTGGCAGTGATTTCGATCGCCATGCTGAGGAAGACCCTGAACCCTGAATTTTCTTGTTCCTGCATGGAAGCCTGGGCAATCACACATCTCAAGTCTAGACATTGCAGTGGTGCATCTCAGACACTGAAGAACCCTCAGCTGGGCCATACATGTTAAACACCCTTATCCCCCAGTAGCCTACTGCAACCATGTAATTACAATTCGAAAATACATCCCCTGCGGTTGAAAATACTCGGTTAAGGAACTTTCACTACTCGGTGTATGGTCATAAAGTCCAAATTCCTCCATAATGCATAAATTTTCTAAGCAGTAATCTCCGGAAAACTTTTCTAAAGCGTTATAAGAGCATGCCCGAGGTCTAAGGATACTGGAGCCACAGGTAGACCCTGTAGCTGTTGAGCTTACCAGGCCACCAGGGCCACCACCGATGCCAAAGCTCCCTTGCTTCGGCGGCTTGACTCTCTTGGTCTCGGTGGCTTGTTAATATACCTTAACCTACCAAACCCTACCTTTTCGTAGGGTCCCTATAAACTCCATATTTGGGTTCATAATAAGAACCACAAAATGCACGGTTAGAAGTAATGTTCCTGCATCATGGGATTAAGCTTTGAGGGTTTCGGGTTTCCGGTTGCTTGAGGCTTTGCCCAATACCCGCTTAATTGAGGAATAGACCTTAAATAATAAGGGGAATCATATTATGATTTAAGCTATATTTCTGAATTAAGGGGTACTGGCCCCTTAAACCCTAAACCCTATAGTACCTATAGATCCCTTAAAGGAACCCTACCTAGGCCCTAGGTATTCCGTATTCCTTAAGTAAGGGGTATTGGGCTCTCTGTGAAGTAGCCTTTGGCATTGGCCTTGAGGGTTGAAGGTCTAGGGCAAAAAAAGGGGCCCTTTTAGGACCAGGGCTTTGGGGGTTCAGCTTTTGGGTTGAGTTTCCTGCTAGTTTTTTTTGTGTTTTAATGTTTAGGGTTTAGGGTTTGCTTTAAATGTGGGATTCCGGTAAGTAGACAAAATCCGTCTTCCTATCCATGTAGTATATTTGATAGTACACTATACTCCCCAAAAGTTGATAAAGTTTTTGAGGCCGTGATCTCGGAAAGACCTGGACCTGATTCGCGAGTAGACATCCAAGCTCCGGAGCCGTTGCAACTGCGCGGCGGAACCGGGAAGCCTCCACCCAAAGTCGTCGATCTACCTTAGAAGGGGCCCCCACCCTGTAATAGTGGTATAATAGGAATATAATAGTAATATAATGGGGCCCTAATATAGTCCTTATAGTCACTATTACAGGGTGGGGGCAGCTTCTAAGATCTACCTCTCAACCCTACAGCCTAATAGCCCCAAGCCGCCCCACACCCCAACAACAGAGCCGATACTCACAAACCGAGGTGGCGGTCTCCCACAGTCGCAGGCATGGCAGAGTTAGTGTCCGAGTTTGACATGGTTTAGGACACTGAGCGTTTAGGGGTGTGGGGAGTCGGGTTTCAGGGTTTAGAGGTTGGCGTCGGGGTGAAGCCGTAACACTCTATCGTGTTCTTGCGTTCCAAGTTTGTGGGGCTTATGGGCTTTAAAGTTAAAAGAAGGTATTGCTGAATGCTGTTCGGGCCCATGCGTTGCCGAAGTTGGTCGTTCTTCCCGGTCGCCGTAGCCTCAAGCGGCTCTAGCCGGGTAGGCAGCGGAGCAGCACCTTGTGAGCCTTGTGTTAGATTTCATTTCCGTCCCGAACTAAGGGCCACTTACCGCAGATTCAGAGCAACAAGGAGGGTGCAACAAAAGAGTGCGTAAAGCCACAGGGTGACCATTTGAAGTTCTGCAGGGTTTTGTAGACTTGGGGCTCGAGGGTTCGCTTATGCCTGAATAAGGCACGGGTTTAGGTTTAAATCGTTTGAGGCTTAGGCTTGAGTTTGGGCCCAATGGGCTTTGGTGCATCATTGGTTAAGGCTTAGCTAGCCTAGCAGGGGTTGGTGGTTCGCTGGTGTGGGACACCTCTACATTTTTCTGCAAGGCCGATCCTGAAAATCCCGGACCGGTCGAGAAGACATTCTGGTTGCGGAATAAACGAACAGTGCACCAGCTGAATGTGTCTTTACAGGACGTTTCTTGAAACCCTCTGTTAAGAATCGAGCGAAAACGCCCTTCAAAACAGGGAAACAGCCCTTTGGGGATTGAAGTTTAGGGTCTGTTGCGGAGTGACGGCGTGTATTCTCAGGTTCGTATGTCGAAGAAAGACTTAGCAGCAGGCAGACTTCGCGCAGCAGATGATGAACATGGGCTTCATAGCCACTTGCCTGCTTCCGGGGTCCTTATAGGTAGTTATAAGTAGGGTTATAAGTCCCCTAATGTTATGGGTTATAGCTATACTTATCTTACTACCCATGAACCCAAAACCCTATACCCGGCTATACCCTTCATAGAATCCCTATAGATCCCTTTATAAAGGGGCCTTTAAAGGAACCCTTACAACTACCCATGAACCTCCAAGTCGGCTTGGATCTTTTGAGCGATAGCTTTAGGGGTCTAGGGGGGTTAAGGGGATTTAGGGGGTTAAGGGGTTAAGGGGGTTTAGGGGGTTTAGGGGTTCAGGGGTTAAGGGGCTTAGGGCTTAATGGCCTCAGGGGTTAAGGGGTTTAGGGTTTACAATCCTGCAAAACGATTATCACATGGCTGCGGCCACAGCTTGTGGGCTGTTGTAGCCTGCCTCAGAAGTTGCAGAGCTTTCTCGAAGATAGGGGACTCTAATATAGTACCCGTAAATAGTAGGATCCTTATTATAAGCATCCCAGAATAAGACACCCCTAATTCTCCGAAATACGTCACGCCAGATTTCGAGCTTGGGGATCTTGAGGGATCCCGGGGCCGCGAACCGCAATTCTCAAGTCCTCGAGCCTGCAGGTTCGAATTTTTTTCGGGTTTAGAGTTCAGGGTTTAGAGTTTAGGGTTTAGGGTTACAGGTGGTGCGAGTTCCACAAACCGCTTTTGACAAGCGCTGAGGGATTGTGATGACCAGGGTTTAGGGTGTAGGGGACCATTGCAATTTGCGCCGAGACGGTGTTGGCCACGAAGCCCTGCACGCCTCGACACAATTCCTCAATTCGAAAGCCTTGAAGTACCCTAAACCCTAAACCCCAAACCCTAAACCCCAAACCTAAACCCCTAAATTCCTCAGACCCTGAAGCCACGCGTTCCGAAATCCCGAATCCAGAAGCTCGGTCCTCAACCCCGCCCTTTAAAACAACGGTTGAGGACCCTAAACTATGGGAATTATGGTATATTCCTTATTATGGGTCATGCAGGATTTATATCATCCTAAACCCTAAAAACCCTATAGATCCCTTAAAGGTACCCTTATCGATCCCTTTAAAGGAAATTCAGGATTTATATCATCAACCGAATGACCCTGAAACTCCCCCCACCTTCTGAACCCTGATGCCCTGAGCCAAGAAAAAGAGCCGCAAGAACAGCAAAGTAGATCCCTTCATGGGGGTTCCTAGGAAGTACCCCTAGTAGTATAGGGCCCCACATTAGGGGATCTACTTTCCAGATCCTCAGCCCTAAACCCTAAAGCCCCGAATTAGGGGATCTACAACCCTATAGACCCTAAACCATCAACCCTCAACCCTAAACCCCAACCCTAAACCCCAAACCCTAAACCCTCAAGCAAATGATAAATAGAAGGTGTGTGTTGAACGGTTCGGATGGCAGAGTCATGACAATAACAATAAGCATGATGCGAAAAATGTCTTTTCATTGCAAATTTGCTGTTCCGCGAGAGCCCGAAGCATTTCTTATTCTTACAGGAGCAAAAGCGAAACCCTGTCAAAACCCGTTCAAAACCCGCCCGAAACCCGCCAAAACTCCGGACCCAAACCCTACACACCTTCTATAAAGCCGCAGATTAGGGGATCTACCTTTTTGGGTCCTCCCGAAGCCTAAGGCACCTCCGGGGCCTCCAGCGAAGGGCCCTCCGCCGGAGGAGACTCGAGGGGTCAGTGGGACTTCTGAGGCTTCGAAGATGAGAAAGCAGGGGTTGAGGGCATAGAGGGTTTGTTTAGAAAAAACCCATAGAGGGTTTTGCATAGAGGGTTTTTATAAAAGCCCTCTAAGAAAGCAGGGGTTGAGGGCTTAGATTTGGGAAGTTTGTGTTTCGGTGTTTTTGAGGTTTGGATTCATTAGTCGGGGTATGGGCTTTGCGCGGAGATATGAAGCTGAACCGCCCTTTAGCAAGAATTTGGATGTTGGGTGTGAGGGATTTGCTGTTTTCGGGGAGGTTTGGGTGTTGAGTGTGGGGTGGGGGCAGCTGGGGCTCCAGGGTCGTTTACAGATCTCTGGATCAAACTACAAGGTGTACGGGAAAAACGGCTTGAAGCAGGGGCGGTGAACATGCTGATATAGCTAGCTATGACAAAGGCCTATAAGAACAAACAGTGGCGGCGGCGGTGGTGGTGGTGGTAAGGTCGTGCAGGTAGGAGAGCTGTACTAAAGCAACAGTAGGGCGAGTATTTCCGAAATGGCTGGCATCGGCGACTTAATGCATGCATAGCACTACTATACCAAGTTGCCAAGCCTGACCTTGCAGCCTCGCTGGGCGAGTGAACCCAAGGGCTCAGGCTTCGGGGCTTCCCGGAGGTTTTGGACTTAAGGCTCTCCTTAACCCTGAATAACCTACCTTTTTAAGGTTTCCTTATTATGAATTCCTTACATGAGTCCTTAAAAGGTAGGTCCTTCAGGGTTAAGGCTGGACTTGTGTCCAATTTCGGGATTTCTTTTGTGTTGTCATCCTCGGATTTGGCGTTCAGCTCCGAGGCCGCAAGCTCCTAAACCAAAGAAAGCAGCCTTCTATGTCGAAGCCGAACCCTGTGAGCCGAAGCCACCTAGTATAGGGGCTTAAACAACTACCTATACAGTTTTGGGGGTTCCTTTTTTAGAGTTATAGTATAATGAGCCCCAAAACCCTACTCTAATCATTAAGGGCCCTATGGTAAACCCTGCAAGCCCTGTAATTTCACGGACAGGCCATGATGAAGCAGCGACCACCTGGCCCTCCGAACGCAGGGCTCCAGAAGGTACGCCACCCGGGCGGGGCTTGGGATTGCATTGGGTGATCAACTTTTGAGCATCGGACTTGCGGATGTAATGTAATATAATGCAACGCAGTATAATGTAAGGTAATGCAAGGTAATATAATGCAATGCAGCGCAACGTAATGTGATACTTTATTGTTTTACAAGCACCTACTTACGTATGTGCATGCATGTTGGTTTATGTATAATTATGCACATACACAAGACATGATTTTGCGGTTGTTGGAGCCTCGCAGTGAAGGTGGCAGGCACACCACCGGGTCCTCCGCCCAAGAACCCGAGCCAGGCGATCTCGGGATGTTGTGCACAGGAGATTGAGTAGGGTTTAGGGTTTAGGGCGTAGGGTTTAAGGGGGGTTTAGGGTTTGCGGGGGTTTAGGGTTGCAAGGGTTTAGGGGGGTTTAGGGCTTAGGGCATTCAGCCCCATAGCCCTCAAAGATCAGGGTTGTTGCGGTGTTCGAGCGTGTTTGATTGGGAAAAGGCTGGGCTTCAGTCAGGAGCCCAAAATCAGGCGAAAGACTTCCGGTTCGTGTGCTGTGTTTTCTTTGTGGGTTACCAAAACGTTAGAGTTTAGAGTCTTTTTGAGCAACTTTTGGGAGCAGCCTTACTACAGTGGGCAGCGTCCGGGACAAGCTTGGATTAGGTTATGGGTTTAGGTTTAGGGCTCTTGGGTTCTTCTTGGGTGTAGCACCTTTCAGAGGCGGGTTTGGGTGTTCTTTTCGGTTACATTCCCTCTGCAGCTATAGGGTCGCTCCCCAAATCCAGAGCCGTTGACTGAATTAAGCCCTGCTCTATACCCTCCTTCTTCCAAAATAAAGCCTTTGTTGTGTTTGCCGCGTGCCTCCTCACGCTTCAGGAAGATTCCGAGCTTTTGACCTGCAGCCGTCATCCCCAAGCCATGTTAGCCTTTCGCTTCTAAGACTCTAAGATACCGTAAGGCAGAGATGTTGAGCTCGACCCCAGAAAAGAGCGAACTTTTTCGTCCCCAGACAGTCATACGACTGAAGCCTTACATCCAAGCTCTAAGCCATTCGGAACCCCAAAGTCTTCACACGCGAAGAACTCGAAAATCAGAAATGTCAATCGCTTCCCCTAAGGGTCCAAGTAGTCCTTATTTATGGTTTTTGGTGCCTAAAATGGCCCGAAAGTCCTATAATAGGGAGTACTTGGTTGATGATATAAATCCTGCATTACCGTAAGGACCCTAAACTATGGGAATTATTAGGTATATTCCTTATTATGGGTCATGCAGGATTTCTATCATCAACCGTTGGACCCTCAAAATTTCAAATCAACTACCGGTCCCCAAAAGCAGGCTGGTCCGGGTCCTGGACTGCGGCCTCCGGGGCCCCCTCCAAAGGCAGGGGAGGGAAGGGAGACTTGGGCGGTTGTCAAAATTAGGGTCCCTTTTTGGGGTCCCTATTATGATACGGCATTCATTATGTAGGGTACCGAAAAGGGGACCCCTATTTTGACAACTACCTACTTATGTTGCTCAGGGTTCAGGTGTTGAGAGTTCGCAGGGTTGCGGTTTATATACTATGAAGGCCCCTATACTCAGGGGTTTGGGAAATTGGAGGTTTAGGAGTGCGCGGCTTTCTTCAGGGTGTGAGAACAGAGGGACATGAGTTTATTTGGGCATTAGGCAATATTGTTACCTAGTGTGTCAGTGTGTACTTATGAGACAAAAAGCCTGAACTGCCCTCTTTTTTCTCCTAAAACCCTATTGTCCGACGCCTCAGTAGCCTGGAAATTGTAGTTCTCAGCGACGGCTTCGTTGTCGACCGCGAGGTCCAGCAGGGTTTGTGGTGTTTGATCGCACAGTTAGTTCGCATTTCTGTGCTTGGGCTAAACCCTAAACCCTAAACCCTTATAACTTATAAACCCTAAACCCTTATAAACCCTAAACCCTTATAAACCCTAAACCCTTATAAACCCTAAACCCTTATAAACCCTAAACCCGAAAGTTTCACAGCGTCCGATATGAGGGTCTCAGAGCTCACGAAAGAAAGGATGGTTTCTTGTGCACCTTGGGCCCAGGAGGCCTAAGCAGCGCAGCCTTAAAGCCCCCATTTTTTCAATAAGTAAACTGAGAGCCCTAAGGGTCCAAGTAGTCCTTATTTGTGGGTGTTGGGACCTAAAAAGGCCCGAAATTGTGGGTTTTGGTACCTAAAAAAGGCCCGAAATTGTCCAGTAGTTGGGAGTACCTGGACCCTCTGGGAAAGGTGAACACGGGAGAGCTTCCGCCGGGTGCAAAGCCACCGCCACCGCCGCCCAAGACAGCTGCAGGCCCCACGAGGAAATGAGTCAACTTGAGGGCTTGGGGTTTAGGGTTTATGCAGTTCTCGACATTCAGATTTAAGATGAAGCGCATGTTGTTGTCAGGCCTCAGGGGGGGGGTCTTCGCGATTTTGTTGACTGTAGGATTCAGAGGATTTAAGAACCAAGTCATCGAGCACTTGCAAGATGGGGGCATACGGCATACAAGTACTGTAGAGGAATGACTGCAGCATGCGTATATAGGAACTACTTTAAGGCGCTACTGTCGTTGATCAGACAGAGCCCTTTAAGGGCTCACAAATTCGAGTTTTAGTCAATGCTCGAATAGAGCCGGATTGGGGAGTTTGGCAAAACATAGGGGCCTTAATAATTACCTATACTATGTTGGTGGTTCCGTCTTCTAACTAATAATTACCTATACTGTACTGTTTTGGAGACTCCTTACTCTATCATACTATAATTGCCAAGGGCGGGGGTTTGGGGACCCTTCAACTTTGCCCTTGCGGTTTCTTATAGGGGTCGTCCATCCAATCCTATCGATATAATCGCGTCAGGCCTCTACTTAGAGGATCATGGGACTTAGTAAGTAGGTTATAACTGGGGTTATAAGTCCCCTAAGTGGGGTTATCCTAATTATAACCTACTTATAACCTTACTTACTAAGTCCCATGAGCCTTCAAGTATGACTCTTTCCCAGGTTCCGCCGCACCAGCCACGAAGCCACTCAACGCGGCCCGGGGACTCGGGATGACGGTTTAGGGTTTAGGGTTTAGGGTTTAGGGTTTAGGGTGGGAAGAGAAGCCAAAGAGATTCAACGGGTTTGGAAGCAGGTCTTCCGGAGCTTCAGTAAGTGGTTAAGGGGTTTTCTTTGATATGTGTTTACCTGGATGTTTCGAATCTCTGTGGAGAAGTTCGAGCAGTCTTGGATTAAGGCTGTTTTTCATGGGTTTTGGTTTCTTCGGGACTACATGGGGTGCAAACACCCCGAGTGCTCTTTGACCCAGTAGCGTCGCTCTTGCTTAAAGGATCACGGGACTTAGTAACTGGGGTTATTATTAGGGTAACTATACTTATAACCCCAATCAGGGTACTTATAATCTTACTTACTAAGTCTCATGATCCTCTAGGTAAGGTCTGAACAGGCTGGCCGTTTAATTAGAAGCCTTTAGCAACCAAGTTTGATCATGCCCCCGAAATTCTTGAACCCTTAAAGCCCACAACCCTGAAACACCTAAACCCTTTAAGCCTTTAACTAAGCACATTCCAAGACCTCCGAACCCTAAAGCTTTAGGGCTAAACCCCATAGAGGTCTTGCAACACAAGCTTGCTTTCAGGCGACTCGCTTCATGCCGACTACCCTGCGAACGAAGAAGCCGTCGCAGGCGGTTCGCGGGTGAGTGCTTGCCGGTGTTATTTTTTAGGTGTGGTTTCGGGGCTCAGAGTTGAGGGTTCAGAGGCTTCGGTGTTCAGGGTGGTGGCGGATGGGGTGGAATCCCCGGACTCTCGGAACACTCATTATACAGGTCTGGACAAGTGGGGTACTCATATCATATCCCGACGCTCTGATCTACTGAGAGGCCCCACTACTGGTGGGTTCGTGTTTGAGTCTAGCAGTGCTGAATCGCTCAGTCCGGCTACACCAGTGGGCGTCCCAGTCTGGAACGGCGTGAAGGTTCAAAGGTCCAGTGATCGAAGATAGCGTGTTGATATCGTGACTGTTATGTTTGTCGGGGGTGGGTTACAAAAGAACGACCATAGCTGTTTGCACTATCAAGTCTCATGAGTTTCATGCTTCATGTAGCAGGCCGAGTATGCCCCCTCAACCTTACACCGCAAACCCTAAATCTTAAATCCTAGGCCCTAAACCTACAGCCTGAATTGACTCGACTGGAATTCCATAGAACTGCTTTTGAAGTGCCAGGTCGCTGGTGGTGTATTACAGGCCTCTTCGGCATCGCTGTCGCAGGCGGCCGCCGGAAGCAGCAAAGAAAGTAACACAAATTGGGCCTTAGGGGTTGAGGGTTTAGGGTTTAGGGTTGAGGGTTTAGGGTTGAGGGTTGAGGGTTTAGGGTGTTTATACCCTGAACATAGGGCAGGGTTTGTTCAGGTTGATGCACTTGCAGCGCTCCAGATGTATGTATGGGCATCAAGGTGTAGGGTATGAAGTCGATGTTTTTGTGTTCATGGCAACTAAATGAGCATTTTCCAAAGCTTTTTGGTGTGGGGTCCGACCGTATCCCAATAGGCGGCGAAGATTGCGCTCACATGCTCTTGAGCGAGCTGTCTTCACTACTTGCGCTGGTGTAGTACAACACACATCTGAAGACAAGGCCACAGGAAAAGTTGTCCAATCCGCCGTTACCAATCCACACTGGTGTATCGTTCGCGAAAATATACCACCCCCAATCCCTCAAAGCGCTGATCTAATCATGTACTCCTGGAATGCATGGGTAGCGGGCTGAGTTGCTATTCCAACTCAAGTAGTTGTTATGACTATTGCCATGTCGACTGTTACCATCATATTGGTATCTGTCAACACTGATTTACACAGCCACGCATGTTTCCACAGGAAGAAGATGTATCGCGACGGCGAGATGAGAGTTCCTCCTTTGGGAATTCAGGGCTTCGGGTTTTGAGGAGTGCAGGGTTCGCAAAGTGTTGGAATTCAGGCTTTTTGAAAGTATGGGTTTAGGGTTTGGGGGTTGAGGTTTGAGTGGGTGTTGGGCTTATCGTTTTGGGTACAGTGTGTTACACCCGAAGCCGGGAGAAATCGACGCAAATTGGACGCCGAAGGCTACCCTGATAATAACCCTAGTTACTACGTCCCATGATCCTTTAAGTATGGTGCGGTAACACCAAAACTCTATTCGAACTAGTGAGGTCCCTGCAGTAAATTGGAAGCCGGGCCTCGCAATTCTTTGCATTGGAGAAAGGACGCGCGGAAGAGGCTCTTGTTCACGGAGGCAAGCCTGTAGTTTGGGCTTTAGGGTCTTCGATTCAGGGCATACTTCTTCATAGTTAGACATCTTGCTCTGTGATATTATGGTTGCCTATTTGGGGATTATGTCTTGCTAGTCAGATATTGTGCTTTATGGTCCGAGGGATCTAGGGTTTGGAAGCTAGAGCTGTAGACGTTGCGTGAGGTTGCTAGCATAGTGAGGACTTGTTGTCGACCTTGAATGAACCATCGAGTTCGAGCAGCAGTCCTGAAAAGGTTCAAGGGCTTTACTTGGGGTTACGCTTCTCGGGGTTGGCGGTTGGGGCACGACAATAGGTTTCCGAAAATGGGGGACCCTAATATAGTATCCTGAACAGTAGGATCCTTTTACAAGGACCCCAAAGCAAGCTACGCTTAATTTTCGGAAACCCCCATTTTGGGGGGCGCATAGTACCATAATTATGTTAAGGAACCCCTAGAATAGCATCGGTAATTATTTAGGCGCCCTTAATAGACACCTAAACCCTTATATTCTTGATTAAACCCTGCCCAAACGCAAACACCTTCAATCCCTACAGCTTGAACCTCAAGCCTCGCAAAACACAAGAACAGACAACTCTTAGGGGTACTCAGAAATAACTTTTCATTTTTGGTTATTATAATCCCTAAGAAACAGCTAAAATTTTACTTTTTCTAGGGTTCTAAGTTTCAGTATAGTATTCCTTGCATCTTCCCAGTGATCTTTTGCAGTTCATGGCGATGGTCCTAGAAACTCTTATTATAGGTACCTTAATTGGGGTTATAAGTAGTTATAAGTATAGTTACAACTGAGCGTTCAAGCTCGTAGAGGCGGTAGCATTCACAGTTTGAGGCTCGGCGCCTTGGATGTGGCAGCCCCAAACAAACATCAACAGAGTAAAAACGCCAAACACTTAATCCGTAACCCTAAACCCTTAACCCAAAACCCTAAAGCAACGGAGACCTCAAACGTCGACACCTCACCCTTGCAGAGGCGCCCAAGGTGGCAGAGAAAGTCAACATCGAAGACGCATTTCAGGACGGGCGGGGTTTAGGGTTTAGGGGTCTTGGGAATTCTGTCGTTCATTGAGAGCCTCGTAGTAGAGTAGGTAACCTTAACTTTTTTTGGGTAGTATAATTAGTCCCTATATAATGAGCCCTTGGGATTCCGTCGTTAATTTGAGAGTTTAGGGCCCAAACCTAGCCTAATCCTTGTGGAACCAGCCCATGGCAGTTGCGATACACAGTGCTTCAAAGTCCCGACCTTCGGGTCAGGGTTTCTTGATGGTACCTGCAACATGCTCGAAAACTTCTGAATTGAAGTGCCGCTGCAGCCCGCTGAAGCTTGTAACAAGTTAGCCTGTCGAATCAAACCCGACAGCCAGGATTTTATGGGTCAGCTGGACGACTAGTCCGTGCAATACGACGAGAAAAGCAGAGAATACCCAACAACCACGCTCTTCCCTTGTGAATGTTGTCTGGATATTCAATTTTGTTGTCAGCTCTAGAAGAAACAACGGCAAGCCGTGCTCGTTTGCACGGCTGACTAGTCGCCCTCTCCATTAAATTTCTGATATATATATGTATATATATTGTAAAACCGCCTGTAGGCAGTCATGCTTCGCTGTGAGAGAGAATGTGCATACAGCCTTCTTCCGAAACCTTTGGCCCGAAGGTGGGCCCTTGGAGACCTTTCAGGTAGATGCTATGGCAATGGGAGAGTGAAAAGGCTTTCGCTCTTCGAAGTCGGGAACCATACTGGTTGACACCACTACTGGTTTTACATGGTAGCGGAGCACTGCGGTGCTCATTCAGGGACAAGAGTGTGAAAGTCTGCTGTTTTTGGGGTGGACACCATGGCCGACAAGGACCCCTTCCGGGATCTGACGTTCAGTGGTGCCCCTTCTGAATACAGACTTTTCAGGAGGAAGATCCTCTTGAGTGTGGCTTCTCTGGAGGAGAAGCATGTGCATCTCGCCGGACCCAGGATCCTCAGCAGATTGACTGGCGAGGCCTGGAGGGCGACGGAGCATCTCTCCGTTGGAGAGCTGCGAGCGCAGCAGGGCTGGTTGAGCGTCCTGAAGGCACTTGATGATCACTATCGTTACCTGCCGGAGACGGAGCTCAACGAGTGTGTGGATGAGTTTTTGTTTCATCTGAAACGCCGGGCTCACGAGGGCCCCACGGCGTTTGTGTCCCGCTTCAAGGCGGTGCTGAGCAGGCTGGAATCCTTGGTGGCCGCAGAGAAGGCGACCCAGAAGGGCTCTACGAAGCGCCGCCGCAGCACCAAGAAGCAGGAAAGCCGCTCCAGTTCCAGTTCGATGGACAGCTTTGGTTCTGGACCCGAGGCCGCAGAGCCGCGGCTGACCAAGGAGCAGGTCGATGCCGCTTCGAGTGCGGCCCCCGCAGCGACGACGAAGACCCCGGAGGAGCCAGCCTCTGACTCCAAGGGCCCAAGGACGGTTGGCAGCTTCGTGGGTTCGCCTAAGAAGAAGGCCCCGTCGTCTGGCGGAGGGTCCCACCACAGTCGTGGAACCCAGAAAGCTGATGAAGAGCGAGCTCAGAGACGCATGTTGGAGGACCTGGGCAAGCTGGAGGTGGGACACCTACGTGTCCGACCCATTTTCCCGGAGGTGATCTTGGGCCATCTTTTTATGAGGAAGTATGGCTTGAGCCGGGAGCAGCGCAGCCAGGTGATACGTTCGACGGGTGGCTCGTGTAAGTTCCGAGATGTGGAGAAAGTGATCAGGGCCTCGGACTACGAGGAGAAGCTCGTCGATCCCAACAACCGAGGTGGTGGACACCGCCCCGGTCGAGCGGCGAATGTGATGGCTGCTGAAGAGGAGAGCAGTCTGAGTGAACCTTCCCTTTCCGAAGGGGAGGCTTACGAGGCCGAGGAAGACAGCGCGGACACCGAGGACCGCGAAGAGCTGGAGGAGGCCTATGAGGTGCAGAAGAAGGCGAAGCAGGACGTGCGAAAAGCTTTTCGCAGCTACAAGGACAGCCGGAGACGAGTTCGCGAGATCAAGAAGGACCGGCAACCCTACATGCCGGTCGTGGCGATTCCGCCGCCTTCCTCTGCAGCCTTGCCCTCGGATGGGCAGCCGATACAGCCTACCTTCAAGTATGACAAGAAGACCGGGCGCAAGGAGAAGGCGAAAGGAGGCGGCAAACGTGGCCGCCGGGAGGATGTGAGCCTGGTCCAGGCCAGCATGGTGACGGAGTTCTCCTACATGGTGACCGAGGAGGCGGACGACCAGCACGACGTCTACGCGGTCACCGTCCCGGCGGGCTCGGCGGTGATCGATACAGGATGCACTACGTCAGTTTGTGGAGCAGAAACTGCGGAGAGGTATGCCGAATACTTCCGGAGCCGTGGGCTCCCCGAACCGGTGCCTGTAACCCTTCCACCGGTCCAGCTGAAGGGCTTCAATGGTATGAAAACCTCGACGGATAAGGGGTTACGCTGGACAGTCAAGCTGGGAAGCCTATGGGGACAAGTTACCACCTACACGGTGGCCGGCTCTGCACCGTTCCTCCTCTCGCGGAAAGTTCTCCAGAGTATGAATGCTCAGCTAGACCTCGGCAAGTGCACCCTGACGAGCGCCAAGCACGGCATGCACAGCGAGCCTCTGGCCCAGGCGGAGAACGGCCATCTCCTCCTACCTCTGGTTCCGCCCGATGAGAGGCTTCCTGACAGTTCTGATGTGCAGGCTCACGGGCCAAGGCTCCTGGGAATAATGCAGTCTGCCCATTGAGGGCGTGTAAAACCGCCTGTAGGCAGTCATGCTTCGCTGTGAGAGAGAATGTGCATACAGCCTTCTTCCGAAACCTTTGGCCCGAAGGTGGGCCCTTGGAGACCTTTCAGGTAGATGCTATGGCAATGGGAGAGTGAAAAGGCTTTCGCTCTTCGAAGTCGGGAACCATACTGGTTGACACCACTACTGGTTTTACATATATAATACATTATCGGTCTATTTCTGTGAATACCCGATAGCCGTTATATTGATATTATTATACGAAACTTTTCT